TCAAGCACCAGGTATGTCTCTCGTATCACTCACAACCTCGTTCCCCAACTCACAGACGCCACATGCACCCAAGGACCACCATGCGCCCCATCCAGCATACAGCACCGCAGCTCGGCTATGGCTGCCTGCTCCTTCCAGCTCGCCCGTGAGTGCGTGAGCCTGGCAAGCAATAGCGCAGCAGCGCTTGCACACAAAGCAGCCAGTGCCCAAATGTCCAATGCGTGGGCAGGCCCTTCCCTATATCGGAGTGGCCTGCTGCTGCGTGCTGTGCTGCGGTACTGGGCCCCGGCCCAGAAGCTTCCAGTAGTTTCAGGGAGGCTGAGCCTCAGTCCGAAGGAAACAGGCCCAGGGCCTGTGGCAGTTACCAGCACCCAACTGCCCTCAGCCTTTGTTCGGTCCACTTTGTGTATCCGGCCCAGGGCCTGCCTCAGCTACATGAAATGAAAGGCAGCCTGGGCCTGGGTGCTTCCAACCGACTGGCGCTGCGCAACTGCCTGAATTTCCCCAGTTGCGTGGTGACCCTGAAATGGCATGTAGGGCCTCGGTCGTGCCAGCCTTCACTTAGGGCGGCCAACTGTGTGAAAATCAGGCCCTGTAGGGCATATCGAGGCCCTATGCCTCGCAAAAAGGAATCCCTAAACCCTAAACCCTTCGCATTACAACAACGAAGGCAATGAGTGGGTGGGCAGTAGAGTAGCATTCTGCATCACCATGTACCAGAAAAGAACATACACATGCATCCGTGAAAAGAATATACACATATCCATCCCCCCAAAATTTGAAAAAGCGTAAACATATTCATGAGGGTGAAGGTAGCACTATCGCAATGCACTGAAGTGTACCTGCCACTATCCGCACCTCCAGGTGCAACTGATAAGTTGTACCTGCATGGTAGACTGCTGATCTAACCACAGACTGATCAGTTGCAATTGGGCATCAAGGACCCAGTTTGCACTTGTGCATAAACGCATCGAGGTACAGATCATGACACACCAGAGCATGCATTGATACCTTCTCCTATTTATTCATTCGTCCATCCATCCTTTCACGACCAATCAGTTTGGGGGCATCATAGCAAATACCATCTCATTCATCCTCGTACCCAGTAGTTACCCATACGCACTCCTTCGCTAATTGAAGCAACGAACGACTATGTGAAGCAACAAACGGCCAACTGAAGCAAACAACTAACTGAACTAAACAGCTAACTTAAAGCACCAGTACATGGCTACCTGGGCCGCGGGCCTGACACCAGTACAAATTCCAGAGGCGCGAAACGAAAAAGCGACCGCCGATCCAATATATCAACGGAAGGCCCAGTGTTTGACGTCGTTTCGGCCTCATTTTCTTGTGGCGACAAGCTTTGGACTGCAAGGCTGGGGCGGTGTACTAGCGGTTTACGTGAAGCATCTTACGGCCTAACTAGAGGCCTAAAGAAACTTCAGTAACACCGACAGATAACATGAGTTAGTCAAGAGTAAAGTTAGCCGTTTACTTCCGAGTTAGTCGTTTGCTTCCGTTAGTTGTCGGGCTGTTTGGCTTCAGTTAAGTTCAGTTACTCGTTTGCTGCTTCAGTTGCCTTCAGTTGGCCATTTACTTCAGTTTGCCATTTGCTGCAATGAGCGGCTGATTTGCTTCCGTTAGCTGTTTGTTTCAGTTAGCCATGTGCTTCAGTTAACCGTTTGTTACCTTAGTTAGCTGTTTGTTGCTTCAGTTAGCTGAGCTGTTTGTTGCTTCAGTTAGCTGAGCTGTTTGTTGCTTCAGTTAGCTGAGCTGTTTGTTGCTTCAGTTAGCTGAGGTGTTTGTTGCTTCAGTTAAGCCGTTTGTTGCTTCAGTTAGCCGTTTGTTGCTTCAGGTAGCTATTTGTCCCTTCAGTTGGCCGTTTGTTGCTGCAGTCAGGCCCTAACGGAAGGCAAACATAGCATATTATGGATCCTAAGTTGCTAACCAAAGGTCCCAGATCTGGTGACTTCAAGACGACCATACAAGAACTAAACAGTCAGAAACTTAATTATCACCAGTGCCTTACATACCCATACAGCCTATGATCAATGCACACAAAAGAAGAACAATAACAACAATAGCAATGTGAAAACAGAGGGCCAGTGGCCTAGCTCAGTTGGTTGAGCACATAAGTGATATTCAGGAGGTCATGG